GGTTGAGGCACCATCCCTGGAGGTGTTCAAAAGAGGGGTTGATGTAGTGCTGGGAGGTATGGTTTAGTGATGATGCTCCTTGTTTGTTGTATGGGTGTCTATTTTTGTCAGTTAGGTTGACGGTTGGACAAGATGATCTTTGAGGTCCCTTCCAACCTAGAAGATTCTGTGATTCTGTGAAGCACAGCTGCAGTTTTGGGGTTTCTTTGCCCCTTCAACCACTGTTGCATGTCCACCCCATGGGGTTCATGATGTTTACCTCTGCAAAGGTGTAAAGAGCAGATTTTGAGGCCCTAGCTCAGGGGAGAGCGGTCCCGGTAGCACGCCAGGGAAACCAGTTGCGCTCAAGAGCCACCACTGCATCTCCTCCACCACACAGCACTTCCAGGAGCAGACCCTACAGTTTATTTTGGGTTGCTTATGAAAATATTTAGCACCCGGACCCTACCTGAGAGAACCTTGCCCCGGTGCTCCATCTCTCAGCAGGACAGAGAAATTGGGAAGAGGAGGAGCCCGATGGTGGAAGGGGAGTCCACCAGCCTGCAAAGCTGCTAGTCCAGCAGCAGAAACAAAAGCCAGAAAGAAGCCTTTCGCAACCGTGGTTGGGTATTATACAAGTGGCCGGGCAGATTCTGGCATGCAGCCTCCTCTCTTAGGAAATCAAGCAGACTCTTTGTCTGCTTTCCAGCAGGAACTGCTGCTTTCATGGCCCCGGCTTCGCCCGATGCGGGGGAAACCGGCTGGAGAGCAAAGGGAAGTTCTTCTCGTAGACAGGCCCCAGCCTCCAGGGGATGATTTGATGGTTAAACCCAAGAAGTGTGCGTGAGTCTCCAGCTCCTTTCTTCCACTCCCTCCTCCAACCTCCATCAGCTGGTTTGAAGCCTGTGGGAAGCCGGTGGAGAAAGGATGGGATGGGATGATGCCCACGGTGGGATCTGGGCAGATGCACGCAGCGGGGAGGAGCAGTTATAAATAGTGAAATAAATAATAATTCCGCCGTGGGAGTGCCAATTTAGTGGGTATAGCATGTTTACGTAAAAATATTTAAAGCACATGTGAATTAGATTGCAAGTGATGATTGCCATTGGTTGGGTTCAGGTTTATGGTCACGCCAGGGTTGTGATTTTTTTTTCCCCTGGAGGTCCCGAGGCGTTTGCACCCTTTTTCCTTGCGGTGCTGTCACAGCTGGTGACACGGGGGTCCAAGAGCTCTGGGAAATGCTGTGCTGTGTGCACCCTGCAGCTTTGGGGTGCTCACATGGGGCAGCTGTGGGTGGGGATGAAGCACCCTTTGGTGCCTACACCCAGGGGAAGATCCAGCCCCCACCCCTCCAACATGCTAGAAACGTAGTTGTGATCAGGAACACGCAGAGAAACAGTGGCATCTTTCTGATCCTTCTGAATTCAGATCGTTGCACTGATTGATGTGGCTGACAACCATCTGTGGCCGTGGACTTGGGACTCTGGTTCCTGGAGCACCAGCAGATCTGCCTACTGGGCCCTCCTCTGCTGCGTAGGGTCGTACTGGGTTTGGTGGGCAGGTTGTGAGCCCCCCAACCCATGTATCATAGGCAGAGGTTGAACTGTGGCCCTTGGGACTGGTATCTTTTGATGCTTCGATGAAGCAGTGGAGCGTATGGTGTCTGGATGGACAAGGTGGGGCACATGGTGCCTGGATGGACAAGGTAGAATACATGGTATCTCAATCATAGAATCATAGAATGGTTAGGGTTGGAAGGGACCTCAAAGATCATCGAGTTCCAACCCCCCTGCCATGGGCAGGGACACCTCCCACTAGAGCAGGTTGCTCAAGGCCACAAGGCTCAATGGAGCAGTGGAGAACGTGGTGCTTGGATGGATGTGGTGGAGCACATGGTGCCTCAATGGAGCGGTGGAGCACATGGTGCTTGGATGGATGAGGTGGAGCACATGGTGCCCTGATGGATGAGGTGGAGCACATGCATTCTTCGTATTCGGCCAACTCACATCAGATGAGGTCCAGGAGGACAGCATGAGGGTAGAAGGTGCCTGCCCAAGTCTGGGGGTAGGACGTAGTCTCTATTTCACCACAGGTAGATAAGACTATTCCTCATTAGCGCTTGACAGTGACTTATTCATCCTCACAACCACCTTTTGAAGTGGAGAAGAGTGTCCCAACTCCGCGGGTGGGAAGCTGGAGTAAGGAAAGCCCAAGTGAAGTTGCAGCCCTTTCCCAGACCACGTCACTCTGGCAGAGAGCAAGATCATCGAGGAGACCACAGCAGAAGAAGGGCTAGAATTGGTCCTTCCTAATCAATGCTAACTCTGCTTTTCTTGCTTTTAATTTTCACATTATGTATTTCCCGTTTACTCAAGAATAGCAAAAATAGGAAAAGTGAGTATACATTTAATTTGCAGCCCTACTTTGTCCCATGCTCACGAGCAAAATGCCCCAGGAGTGTATTTTTGGACTGTTTATATTTGTCCCAAATTGATAAGTTGGTTTTTTTTTTTTTCCCTTCTTGTTGTTGGGTTTAAAATAATCTCATGGGTTTTCTTGCAAAGAATCTGTGAACTGTTTGGGAGAACTTATCTCAGAGCGTGCGGCTGGGGCTTAACTAACATTTTCCAAACAACTCAGCAGAAAGATAAACTGGGGAGGCTGGGGAGGGGTAGGAGGGGGGACTTGCATGTCCTCAAAACCCTGGCTGAAGCTTTGGTGAGATAAAAACCCCATGGACCACACGCTCATCGAGATGCTGTAAACACCGTCTTCAAAGCAAACAAAGTGCTCCCTGCTGGAAACAGAAGAGGGGGGAAGACAAAACTTTTGAGAGCAATGAGAATTCCTTGAATTACCTCTTTTTTTTTTTTTTTTTTCCGAGCTATTTTTTCCAGCGGCTGGGGAGCTGGTCAACAGATAGGCGTTTATTTGTAAAGAAAAGGAACCATGAAAAAACAAGAGAGGGAAGGAAAGATAAGGCTGAGAATCAAAATTGTGCCTTCAACTAAAGGATGTGACTTCGGAGCACGTTTAGTTATGCCCAGCCATTTAAATATGGGCAGTTTTAATTAATCCAGCCGCTTTTCCGAAGTTTGCCTTGCCCTGATGAATTTCGGATACTGATGAAGGTAGTTTTCCCAATTTTTCTCCTTTTTCTCAGCGTTTAGGGCACGCACTCGGCTCCCCGCTGCGTGCAGGGATTAGGTTGGGGCCAGCAAGGCTTTGTTCAACCCAAGGTGATGGAGTGGAAGCGGCCGTAGCTTCAAGTGTTGCCAGAAGCAGTGATTTTATCAGCCACCTCATGGGACAGTGAATGCTCCAGCTCACTTTCTTGGCCGATGGAGAATCTCTGTGATTTTTTATCTGCTTGAAAAACAACCAGAACCTTGTGCTTTCTCTTGTGGTTTTCGCAAAAAGCCTGAAACGGCGGCGTTGTGCGCGTGACAAAGTCGTAAATATGAAAACAAAGTAAAAAAATGTGTATTTTCTGGTTGGGTTTCGAGGGTCCTTGCTCATGGTTTCAAGCTTTGTGGGGTGAGATGTGCCGAGCTACTACGCTTTGCCATGGCCGGGTAGAGCCATTGACCCTCACTGCATAAAATCATAGAATGGTTTGGGTTGGAAGTGACCTTAAAGACCATCTAGTTCCACCCCTCTGCCATGGACAGGGACACCTCCCACCAGACCAGGTTGCTCCAAGCCCCCTCCAACCTGGCCTTGAACCCCTCCAGGGATGGGGCAGCCACAGCTTCTCTGGGCAACCTGGGCCAGGCTCTCACCACCCTCACACCAAAGAAGTTCTTCCCCACATCTCATCTCCATCTCCCCTCTTTCAGTGTCAAACCCTTCCCCCTAAATCCTATGGCTCCCCTCCCTGATCCAGAGTCCCTCCCCAGCTTTCCTGGAGCCCCTTGAGGGACTGGAAGGGGCTCGAAGGTCTCCCTGGAGCCTTCTCTTCTCCAGGCTGAACTCCCCAACTCTCTCAGCCTGTCCTCCCAGCAGTGGGGCTCCATGCCTTGGAGAGTCTAGGTAGCCCTCCACTGGATTTATTCCAACAGCTCCATGTCTTTCATGTGCTGAGGACTCCAGAGCTGGACACAGGACTCCAGGTGGGGTCTCCCCACAGCGAAGCAGAGGGGTAGAATCACCTCCCTCGCCCTGCTGGCCACACTTCTCTTGATGCAGCCCAAGACATGAGGGGCTTTTGGGGCTGCCAGCACATGTTGCCAACTCATGTTGAGCTTCTCATCCACGAGCACCCCCAAGTCCTTCTCCTCAGGGCTGCTCTCAGTGGGCACACCACAGGTCTGACCCCATTCCGTGCATAGCAACATTTTGGGTCTCTCTTGGAAGTTCCTCCTTCTCTCAAGCTCATGTTTGTCACCCGAAGTCCATGGAGAGCAGAGCAGGGTTGGGGTTGGTGCACCCAAGACACTGTAGTTTCGCTGCAACCCATGGCCACTATATAATCAGTCTAGAAGGAGCCGTGTTAATTACGGTGTGTTAGATGTAACTTTCCCATCGGGTAATTTTGTGGCTGTTAGAGGTGTCCCCACGGGGACGGAGAAGTTCAGTGGTGGGTGGCTGCCTCTCCAGCAGAACCCTTCCCTTCCCAGGGCTCTGCTGCTTGAATGCAGTCACCCAATGGTCATATTTCATCGCCATGTATGTGAAACAATTGCATTTTCTCATGCCGTGGGATGAAAAAAGCAATTTAACCTAAATAAAATTCTTTTTGAAAGCTATTAATCTAAATTATCTATATTCTGCCCGCTTGGAGGCTCTCAGCATCAGCTACGCTGGTGATAACACTTTACCCCGTGTTTTGTCACTTAATATTTAACTTCATAATCTCTTTCCTCCCCTTTTTCTGATTTTCTGTCCTTCCCTCCTGGAGGTGGTAAAAGCCAAGCAGGACGAAGAGATGGAAGAAGGGTCATAAAGGAGGAGGAGGAGGAGGAGGAGGAGGAGGAGGAGGTCACGCGTTTCTCACCGCCTCTGTCTTTTCTCTTTTGCAGTTGTTGCAATCTCAGGATGTGAAGGAAGACGCTGTGCTTTGCTGCTCCATGGAGGTAAGGAAGCACCTGCACCACCCACCCTGGTCCTCATGGCTTTGTCCCTTGTGACCTGGGTTGTGCATGTGCCAGGCACCTATTAGATATTTCCAAACCCAAAATGTTGTTTTGCCTCTTTGCATTATGGAATCGGAGAATGGTTGGGTTGGAAGGGACCTTTAAAGGCCATCTAGTCCAACCCCCCTGGCGTGAGCAGGGACATCTCCAACTAGATCAGGTTGCTCGGAGACACATCCAACCTGGCCTTGACTGTTTCCAGGGATGGGGCATCTCCCACCTCTCTGGGAAACCTAGGCCAGGGGCTCACCACCTTCAGCATAAAACATTTCTTCCTTTTATCTAGTCTGAATCTCCCCTCTTTTAGCTTAAAGCCATTACCCCTTGTCCTATCACAACAGGCTCTTCTAAAAAACCCTCTCCCCATCTTTCTTCTAAGCTTCCTTTAGGTGTTGAAAGTAAGGTCTCCCTGGAGCCTTCTCTTCTCCAGGCTGAACCCCCCAACTCTTTCAGCCTGTCCTCCCAGCAGAGGGGCTCCAGCCCTCCCAGCATCTCCGTGGCCTCCTCTGGACACATTCTAACAGATCCATGTCCTTCTGCTGTTGGTGACCCCAGAGCTGGAGGCAGCACTGCAGGGGGGATCTCCCCAGAGCGGAGGAGACACCACCCTGAGATAAGAGATGGCCCTTGAGGGTCTTACCCCTGGACTTTTAATGCATGTGAAGGAAAGCGGAAAGTTTGGTAGCTGGGGTCCCACCACATCATCCTGGTTCCTTCAAATCTCACCCTGCATTTATTTTTCAAGCACAAAACCGCCTGTATTGGGGCAGAAGTTGACCCCATGGCTCACACGGAGAGGTTTGCTGTGCTCAGCAGCAGCTTTGCAGAGAAACACTGGGACAAATACGGCAGAGTTTCATTGACTTTGCCTTTGGGAAGTGATTGACCCATGGGGATGGATACTTTCCTTGCAGAGAGCGGTCAAAATCGCAGCCTGGATGCTTGAAATTCAACAAAGCAACAGGCAACCAAGGAGGAGAACTCGCATTTTTAAAGTTAAGGACTTTGGGGAGCTCTACGTGCAATCCCCACCAGCCTTCCGTGATGGTGGACCCATCTCTCTTCTCTCCGAGCTTGGACCTTCTCCTCTCTGAGCCCACTTAGGGCTTGTGCTGCTCCACGGAGGCTCTCCGAGGAGGAATTGTTTTATAAAGAAACACCCGTGGCTGTCCTCGGGGAAGCGGCAGGACGGGTCTAAGCGCCCATTTGTTATGCATACAGGAGAGCTCTGCTTATCCCCAGTAATGACTGGGAGTCGCTGACAGCTGTGAATCAGCGCCTAAATGAAGGGCCAGGTAGAAGGCAGGGAGACCACATCACAAGCCTGCACTTTGTTTTGACAATAGCCTGATTTTTTTTATTTTTTTTTAAGGTGGGATTTCTTTTCTTTTCTTCTTCTTTTTTTTTTTTTTCCAAAAGCAATCTGCCTTTGAAGTCGGTGGGAGCTGAACCGTCCGCTCCTGCTCCTCCTCCTCCTCCTCCTCCTCCTCCTCCTCCAGCCTGGCTTTTGAAAACCTCGCCCTTCACCTTCAGCTCTTGGAGCCTGGGTTTGGTTTTGGTTTTCTCCAAAGCCCTGACGCTGTTAACCTTGCCTGCCCGCCCCGCCGCATCAAACGGGGGAGGGCTGGAAGGGTGGAGGGAATGGCTACCAAAGCCACCCCGGTGTTTTAATGTCATAGAGTCATAGAATCAGCCCCAAAAGCCAACCCTGCCCTGGGCTGCATCATGAGAAGTGTGACCAGCAGGGCGAGGGAGGTGATTCTGGAGACCACGGAGATGCTGGGAGGGCTGGAGCCCCTCTGCTGTGAGGACAGGCTGAGAGAGTTGGGGGGGTTCAGCCTGGAGAAGAGAAGGCTCCAGGGAGACCTTAGAGCCCCTTCCAGTCCCTCAAGGGCTCCAGGCAAGCTGGGGAGGGACTCTGGATCAGGGAGAGGAGCCATAGGAGGAGGGGGAAGGGTTTGACACTGAAAGAGGGGAGATGGAGATGAGATGTGGGGAAGAACTTCTTTGGTGTGAGGGTGGTGAGAGCCTGGCCCAGGTTGTCCCAAGAAGTTGTGGCTGCCTCATCCCTGGAGGGGTTCCAGGCCAGGTTGGATGGCACCTTGACCAACCTGGTCTGGTGGGATGGTCTTTAATTTAAGATCCAGTTGGAACTGGATGATCTTCAAGGTCCCTTCCAACCCAAAGCGTTCTATGCTTCTATGATGATGGTAAAATACCTCAAGTTGGAAGGGACCCCTGAAGGATCCATATGCCGTGGTTGACCTCTTCTTCTCCTGACAGCTGCAGAGCACCGGCCGGCTGCTGGAGGAGCAGCTGCCCGAGATGATGACGGAGCTGTTGGCGATCGCACGCGACAAGATGCTGTGTCCCTCCGAGTCCATGCTGACGCGGTCCCTGCTGCTGGAGGTCATCGAGCTGCACGCCAACAACTGGAACCCCCTGACGCCCACCATCACGCAGTACTACAACAAGACCATCCAAAAACTGACGGCTTGAGCGGGCAGGGCAAGGCGGGGTGGGAAGGGAAGGGAGGAGGAGGAGAAGAAGACGACGTGCACCTTGACGGGCTCCGGCAAGAGCTTTTCCCATTTCAACACCACCCCCCTCCACCAGCAGACCAAACCCCCAGCATGCTCGAGATTAACGTTGGTGGGGTGGGGAGGGAGAAGCATGTTCCTTTTCTCAGCCCCGTCGCCAAGTGCCACCCCTCTCCACCACCCCCCACCGTGGTTTTGTTTTTTTGGGGAGTTGGGGGGGGGGTGGTTTCTTTTTCCGAACTCATCGCTCAAGCAGCGGCGACGCGTCCCGCCGGGTTATTGTTTGGCTTTGGAAAGAAGATGGAGAATTTTGTGGGGGGGGAAGAGAAAAGAGAAAAGACAAAAAGAAAAAAAAAAAAAAAAAAAAAAAAAGAAAAAGAGAAAGAAAAAGAAAAAAACAAACCAACCCACCCTGCATCCGAGTGGGGGCTAGTATTGTTTTCACGCCGTCCTCCTGCCTTGCCCCGGCCAACTGGCAGGAGACAGCAGGCAGCAGATGTCTCGGGAGGACAAAGCCAGACACACACCATCCCAGACGCTCGTAATTGATGGCTTTTGTCGAGCTGGGGGCTTACGTTGGGTTCTTTCCCCCCCCTTCCTCCTCCTCCTCCTCCTCTTGTCTTCGACTTTCTGTGTGTGCCCCCCTCCCCACCCCAGCCCCTACTCTCCAGCCCTTCGGAAGCGGATGGGAGAGAGGGAACGACTTTCTTATTTGCACTGGGTTTTGTTTTTTTTTTTTCCTTATTCCTCGAGCGTTTGTATTTTCTTCTTATTTTATTGTACCCTGGAACGGACAATTGGCAGCAGCTCGGAGGATGGGGAAGGCGAGGTCTTTCCCCCCCCCAACCCAGAGCTGACTGATGGTGAAGATGCTGAAGCAGAAGGAGTCTCTCAAAGTTGAGTCCAAAAGCCACTGCAGAAGAAACGTAGCCACCGTTGTCCTGCTGGTGACCTCCTCCATGGATTGAGAAAGGGGTCACCTGAGCTGGGGGCTCCAAGAAACCGGGGATTCTGCGGCTCTCGCTGTCCCAGTTGCCACTACCCTTCAGCCACTCTAACCCATTTGAAATTTTTTTTTTGTTAATTTTTTATTATTATTATTTCCATTGAAGGAGTGCTTTATTGTAATTACTGTCACGGTTGTAATTATCCATTTAAATCCAGGGTCTGTTATAGCCAGGCCTAACAATGTACAGGGCGAGGGAGAAATGAAGGTTTGACGTTCTTCTACGGAGACCGGTGAAGAGAAGATAAGATGTGAAGAGTTAAAAGGAGGGGGGAGGAGGGAAAAAGAAGAGGAAAAAGTAGGAAAAAGCCAAAAATAGAGGTTTTGAGGCTGGCTTCTCACTAGTTGAATTTGGTATCCTGTGTGTGCGGCGTGGAGCAGCTCTGTCCCGCCGTGGGTCGAGGTGGCACCGTGTCCTGGAGGGATGGGTGATGTCTTCCTTCAGAGGGGGGGGTCCCCGGGTTCCTCCGTGCTGGAGCATCCCGAGGAAGAGGAGGAGGAAGGTGGTACGGAGGGACACACCACACTGTTGCATCACTCCCCAAATCACGAACAAAAGACTTGGTGGGCTCCTTATTTGCTCCTTTAGCCATGATTTTTTACCTACTAAATCACTGCTGGTGCTTCTTTTGGTGAAGCCTAATGGGAGGAGGAGCCAAGGAAGGCACGATGTGGGCAGCAAGTCCTATTTTCTTCCCTTTATTCAATTTAATTTCCTTTCCTGGTGGTAAGAAGAGAATTTATGCCGCGGCGCCGGCACGCACAGACCCCATTCCGGGCAGGCTTCAGCAGCTTAAAGCCATTTTTCCAAGCGAAAGGTTGAATTTCTGGTGGCTTCTGGAGAAGAGAGATTTCACCCCAACCTCTTTGGATGTGCAGTGAGTTCTTGGGTGCCTTATGAATGTGTCACTCTGGCCACGGTGGGGAGGAAGCTTTCGCTGCAGAATTGAAAGGGCAGGAATTTCCAGCAGAAAATGGAAAATGGGTTGCAGGAGATGAGAGTCCTGATGCTGCGGTTCAATATTATTTGAATTTTCATCCTTTCGTCTGCTGACGCAGCTTCTGATCATCACATGGAGTGAGCTTCAATTTCCCTGTCCACCCAGGAAGCACCAAAATTCTTGCTGGATGCGCTGGACCTGCCTGGAAAAATTAATTCCTGCTTCATGGATTCGAGCTTGGGAGCTCCGCGCGGTGTCGGAGCCTTGCCTCGGGTCGGCTTCGTTAGCAGCGATGGGGTTCGGCAGTATTAATGAGCAGCTGGGCTTGATTAAGGCAGCAAAGCCCATCAGTATTATAAGGCTCAGGGTTGTGCCCATTGCTCTTGGGTTTTCCTGCTCCCCAATTTCTCGGGGAGCGGAGGAGAAGGGGATTTAACACCCATCTCATGAGGTTTGGTAACCATCCAGACCACCTCTCCCACCCCTGCATCTTCTCCCCTCCCCTTCCCCCAGAATTTGCTCTCGGGATACGGTGAAAGAAGAAAAGAAAACTCAAGAAAAACCCAGAGAATTGGAGAATTTGCATCTAAAAACCTGAATTTTCCCTCATCAAGGAGGGGTTCAGAGGCGAAGTGTAATCCTTGTGGCAGGATTTCTGCTCAAGTATTCCCCTACCCCTACCAGCCACCAGGGTTTATTCAATTTTCCCCACTTTGGGGTGCAATCCTGCAACCCCCCCACCAACTGGGCTCGGGCCACGACTTTCCCCTCCAACATGGGGATTTTTCCCACCCAGGAACTTTTCATGTGAAATCCATCGTATTTTTTAATGTCTTGCCATTTCTCTCCGCTATGAACATCCGTTTGTCCAGGTGTCAACTGCTGCCCTACGTCACTCGCTCCGTTCATACTTGAGAATCAAAACGTTGACCAAAAATAGGGGGGTTCCCCCCCAAAAATTGCTGGTATCTCTCTGAAGGCCATCAGTAGGAAGCTGGTGGGAAGGTGGCATCGTTCAGCGTGGCACCATGTTGGGAAAAGAGGTACCACCGGGTCATTGGATGGAGCAGGATGGGGAGCAACGCTGGGAAGAGTCTGGGATTCCTCAGGAGAGCACTTAAGGATGTCATCAAGAACGTTCTTCTCCGTTTTTTTTTCAACCAGTGGCCAAAGAGTGTCATTCTTCAACCTGCATTTTGGAAGGCATGAAGCAGCCGGATGCGTCTCCCCAGATGAGCCAGTTTCCGTCTCCACTGCTCAATAAAAGTAGGGGTTTAATGAGTTTTTTCCTACATCAGCAAAGGGGAGGGGGGGAAAAAAATCACCTCTTTGGGCCAAATACATGTTGGGGCCAAACCTCGGGCTTGGTGTGATGGCGAGTGGCTGAAGCATCCGTGGAGGAGGGATGCTCTGCGCCCCCGATGCCACCGCGCCGGTCCCCTCCTTGGACACGGAGCAGGTTTCCCAGTTCCCTGCCAGACTCCACAGCATCTCGTTCACCTTCTTCCCTGCAAAATTATGTCCAAACCCCTCTTCGGAGAAGACTCACGTACACGGAGGTGAAGCAAAAATGGGGAGGGGGAGTGGAAAAAAAAAGGAAAAGTAAGCGATTTGCTTGATTCCCCTCTTCCCCCCCGAAGGAGGTTAATTAGTATCTATTCTTGGCATGATTGATGGCTTTGAAGGAAAACTTGTCAGAATAACTTATGATTTATTTTCGTGCTTATTTTTATAACATCCCTCACTTGGAAGTCTCTCAAAATCTTCAATATGATTGATTTTATTTTATTTTATTTTTTTTTTTTTAAATAATTTCCCTGCTGGGTATTTTATGGCTTTACACTAATTTTTGCTCTTTTTGGTGTTAGCTATTAGCCGGTCCCGGTGATACTTTCAGTATTTTTTTCAGGAGAAAAAGACACTAAGGGTTGCAAAGTCCACTGTCGATAGCCAAGGGAGCTGCGGTGTCCTGCAGAACACAGAGTTAAACGCTAGCGATTCATTATTATTTTTTTTTTTAATGTATTTATTTGCATTTGAAAAAGCGACATTTTTAATTTAATCATATTTGTTAAACTAAGCGCTTTAAAAAAAAATTTAAAAAAAAAATAAAAAAAATAAAAAGGAAAAAGGTTTTGGGGAGAATAAAGACTAGATATTCATACTAGAGAAAACACAAATTCATCGTTTTCAGCATTTCAGAGACTGTTAAAACAAGGGAGATGATAACTCTTTGTGGCGATTCAGTCTTTGTTTATAGAACATCCAGACCCACTGTATGCTATAAAACGCATCATCTGAGTAATAAATGTTTAAAGCTTGACATTTCCCCATCTCTCTGTGGGTACACGCTGTCGCTTGTGCTGCTCTGGGAGGGAGGAGAAACCTTCCCTTTCAAGGATGGAAGAAGAAAGAAGAAAAGAGGGGGGAGGAAGAACTATTTCTCACAGTGTGTGCTTGGAGGTGTAGCACAGGGAGTGATCCTTCCCTTGGTTGGGATGGTTTGGACCGTGGTCCTGGCCCTGGGTCGGATCCTGCCCAGTTCTGTAGCTCCAGTTGGGGTTGGTCCTTGGTCACTCTCCCCATCGCTTCTCACAGGGGATGAGGGCCATGGGAGCAGTGCAAAGGGCTCGGCGGTCCATGGGTGACGGATTGGACCCGCTCCCCTCCTCCCCAGCTTCTCTCCCAAGGGAATCCCAGAATGCTATGGGGTTGGAAGGGACCTCTGGAGATCATCTAGTCCAACCCCCTGCCAAAGCAGGGCCACCCACAGCAGGTCCCACAGGAACGTGTCCAGGTGGGGTTGGAATGTCTCCAGAGAAGGAGACTCCACCACCTCTCTGGGCAGCCTCTGCCAGTGCTTTGCCACCCTCACACAAAAGAAGTGTCTCCTCATGGTTAGATGGAACTTGCTATGTTCAAGTTTGTGCTCATTCCCTCTTGTCCTGTCACTGGGCATCACCAAAAAAAGCCTGGCCCCATCCTCCTGACACCCACCCTTGAAGTATTTATAGGCCTTGATCAGATCCCCCCTCAGCCTTCTCTTCTCCAGACTCAAAAGACCCAAGAAGTCCCTCAGCCTTTCCTCAGCAGAGAGATGCTCCAGGCCCCTCACCATCTTTGTAGCCCTCTGCTGTCCCCTCTCCAGCAGTTCCCTCTCCTTCTGGAACTGGGGAGCCCAGAACTGGACCCAGTGCTCCAGATGGAGCCTCCCCAGGGCAGAGCAGAGGGGCAGGATGACCTCCCTCCACCTGCTGGTCACACTCTTCTTGATGCCCCCCAGGATGCCATTGGCCTTCTTGGCCACAAGGCCACACTGCCCATCTATTTGTGTGCTACCTCATCTGGACTTGGGGGGTCTGTTGGAGGATGCCCCCATCCATCATCTCCACTTGCAACCAGGGTTTGCAAACCACTTCTGCCTTTTATTGCATTCAACCTCCTTCTAAAAAAATAAATAAATAAGCAGCTTTTCTAAGAAGTTTCCTCTGGAAAACCCTTCTCTGGCCCAAGCCAATTAATTTTGGGCTTGAATTGAAATGCGTGCGTTGGCCCAGGAAGCCATGTGGGTCACTGAAAGTGAGCGGTTTGTGCCCGTGTGTCATCGGTTCCTGCTTTTGAAGAAGTTGTTCTTGCGAAATGCCCTACGTGATCGTGCGCTCGGAGCTCCCTGTGACCCAGCCGAGCTGCAAAATAAATATAAAAAGGAGGTGGAAGAAGGTGGGGCCGTGGCTGAAGGACCCCTTCCTGTCAGCTCATGGCTGTAAGGCCATGAATAAATAGGTGGGATGTTAAAATGAGACACAGGCCACTTGCAACTGGTGCAAATCACCAAGTGCTCCCCACAAACCCATCTTTGATAGCCTGAGAGAGTTGGGGGGGTTCAGCCTGGAGACGAGAAGGCTCTGGGGAGACCTTAGAGCCCCTTCCAGTCCCTCAAGGGGCTCCAGGAGAGATGGGGAGAGACTCTTGATCAGGGAAGGGGAGCCATAGGACAAAGGGGAAGGGTTTAAACTGAGAGACGGGAGATGGAGATGAGATGTGGGGAAGAACTTCTTTGGTGTGAGGGTGGTGAGAGCCTGGCCCAGGTTTCCTAGAGAAGCTGTGGCTGCCCCATCCCTGGAGGGGTTCAAGCCAGGGGGGATGGGGCTTTGAGCAACCTGGTCTAGTGGGAGGTGTCCCTGGTTGGAACTAGACGATGGTTAAGGTCCCTTCCACCCCAAACCATTCTATGATTCTATGATCTCTGCTGACGGAAAGAGCCTCAGCTTTATTAAATGCTTCCTGACTTAGAATCATAGGAGGGTTTGGGTTGGAAGGGACCTTAACGATCCTCTAGTTCCAACCAGGGACACCTCCCACTAGACCAGGTTGCTCAAAGCCCCATCCACCCTGGCTTGAACCCCTCCAGGGATGGGGCCTTGAACACTTCCATGGATTCTTCTCCTAGCTCCATCATCAATGACCTCCATGGGGTCACCAGCAGCAACAGCAGGGTCCGTGCACTCCCTCCCTGCCTTGGCAACTGGACACATGGGGACAGACATTAAAACCCAGCGCATTTCTCTCCAGTGGGCCCAGGAGAAGAGGTGCAGAGGCTGAAGCAAGCCCATGACCATGCCACGCACGGCAGAGTTGGTGGGTCCCGTCAGACCTTCGCCGCCTCCCGGCATCGCTTATCCCAGAGTGGAAATTTTTCACGGGGAAGCTCGATGGGAAGCTCTTGAGAAGGTCTGCACTAATAAAGTCCAAACACTTTGTTTAAATGTTATTGCTACAGCAACATAACATACATTGAAACAAAATGCTTTGTTTGGTGAAAAACTCGGACGATTTAGGCCAGAATGGAATTTTGAAATCTCGGCGTTTCTCTTGAGAGGGACTTTGCATTTTTTCCCCATTAACTCTGTGACCGATGGGAAGCGGTGAGCCAGCTTTGAGCTGGTGTGGGATGAGGCATCAGCTCACCATCCAACCCCCCCACGGCTTTTCCCTTTGGAATACCACTGTATCCCCTGGGAAGGCTGCAGCTCCGAGGGGAGCAGTGCTTTTCCATGGAGTGGAGGAAGCCAAAAATCCCTAAGGTGGCTCCATTTTGGTGGCCTGTCCTGGGGCCATCCATCCTGGAGACCCCACGCTCATCTTTAACGGCCACGATAACCAGAGCAACCCTCCAATGCGGCGTCTGCATCCCTGGAAATGGTTAAATCGTTAAATTATAGCCCAAGGATGGGATGCTTTTTGCAGACACACAGCTCTAGGAATTAACTCAGGGAAATCTTGAGGAGTGGGGCAGGCATAAATTAAGCCACATCAATCTCTGCCTTCATAATTAGCAATGGCAACGCGGGATCCTAAAGGAGGAGGCCACATCCCTTTGTGCATTACTTCTTTAACGCTGTCCTTCTTGCTGCACCCAAACCAACAGTCATTTAAGCTACATTTCAGCTTGCAAACACGGCAGCAGCGCTGTTACCCCGATATTACTTGGTTTACGGTTGGACCCGATGATCTTAAGAGCCTTTTCCAACCAAAATTATTCTATGATTCTATACATTAATCATGAACTCATTTTATCCCTTGGATTTATCTTTGCCATCCATTTTCTCACCACTACGAGGGTCTAGAAACTCCCCTCGTTGCCCAGGGCTGGAAGCGGAGCTCTTGGAAGAGGAGAACATCCCAGCGATTCGTAGGTTTGCCGTGTTTTCGGAAAGCTGATCAAACTTCCTCTGATCCCTGGGGTTTTTGGCAGCCACGAGGAATTCACAGAAATGTTCTTGCCTCTTGAAAGCTTCAGATCTGCTTCAATTCCGGTCCACCTGCTCCAAAATCTCCCCTTTACTGCAGGTTATCTTCTCATTTATTATATCTTGGTGGTCGCAGGAGCACAGGGACCGTCCCTGCTCTTGGCTTGGCTTGGCTTGGCTTGGCTTGCTCCCAGCCCAACCCTGCTGTTGATAAGCTCCTGAAGGTGGTATGGATGCTCACAAACTGGGATTTTTGGGGGACAAGCCAATCTCTGACTCCAGCAGACCCATAACAGCTCCGGCTGTAGGCCAGGGTGGTTCATGGTGGGGGGTTTAGGGATGGGTCCTGGGAAGTGGTAGCTTTGGAAGAGAGATTTTGGGTGTCTTTACCCCTCAGTTACCAACAGCGATTTGTCTCGCTTGCTGCAAAACTCCCACCCAGCTGGTGCAGCAACAGAAATTATGGGAAGGACCCAGGAATAACACGACAAAATCAACCCCTACTGGGTCAGCTTTTCAGCAGCAGATGGCACGAACCAGCTTGGTGTTTTCCCCTGGACTGTCATCAAAATAACCTAAAGCAAGGCCTGGTGGTCGTCCAGACAAGGACTAAACAGGGGTTTTTTTTATATATTTCTATTTATAGCCCTTTGCAAACATCCAGGAATGACCCCATCATCCATCACAAGACATTTTGGGGGTGCAGCAGCCAATCGGCCCTCCATTACTGGAGGTTTTAGGGCCAGGTTGCACCAACTCTCCCAGTAAGGGTGCTGGTATGGTTGGTCCTGCACTAGGGCAGAAGGATGGATGAGGCGATGCCCCATGTCACAAGTAATGCCACTTGGTAGGTCTTGACATCTTCCTTGGCTTGGTGGCTGTGTCAGTAAGGAAAAGACCAGGTGTGGGGACACCGTTGTCCCTCAGATAGGGGACCCAGCCTGGGTGTGCCTTGCAGGACAACCTTCTTCACCTACCATGTCCTCTCCAAACCCTTCTGGACAACCAAGGACCACAGCTGGGGCTTGTTCCTCCCAACAACTCCAAACCCAACCCTTGATCCTACAGAAACCTCCAGGTATTTCTCCTCATCCACCATGCCATCCACCATGGAGAGTGAAGTGACACAACGTCTCCGGGTAGTTAATGCCACCCTTGGAGCTCAGAGATCAATTTTGAAATTACATCGGTTGATATTTTTAAGTTTTGGGCCTCCAAAGAGCTCAGATTCCCCTTCCAAGCCACAGCTGCACGGCGTGAGGGTGGGAGGGAAAACCTGGGTCAGGGGATGGGTTACCAAAAACCTGTCTGGTGGTAATTACCCATGTCATCTGACAAAGAACTGGTTTGAGGGCAAACGCCCGTAAAAGACTGCTCTGGGGAGAGAGAGAGACGACAAAAGGTTGTGAAATCCAGTTGGTGGATTGTTTTACAGCGAAGGTAACTTCTACCCCCAGGGCTGTATTTTACAACTCTGTGAGAGAAACCACCCCCCCCCACCCCCCCCCGTCCCCTTCTCAGGTCTGCTCTTCTTTTATAAAGCATAAAAATTCCATGTATTTGCTAGAAAAGAAGGATT